ATTTCTGCAACGAACCGGTGGTGCGGCGGTTCGCTCTTCGAAGTGGTGCGCGATGTATCGGATCGGTTTTTGCAACGCTCTCATTGTAATGTAAACACCAATCGGAGCAATTTTCGGTTCAATGCGTGACTCAAGATGGCATCTGGGAAACAAAGACTTGCTATTCTAATCTTATTTGCGGGTATAGCTTGCTCACTTACAATACTTTTGTATTTAGATGGGCGGGGGCGGAAGCTGTTTACACTTGGGCCGTAACGTTTCGTGAACGAAGCAAAAACCGATCCGATACCATGTAAACATAGCCAGAATATCAAGTTTATTTATTGAATAGCATAGGACGAAATTTGGACTACACAAGATAAATGTACACTATTAGTACTTTATTATGCCGTTTAAGTGAATCTTTTTATTCTAACATTTGCATGCTCTCCTTGTATCCTGATTAAACTGCGCTTTAAAACGTTCGACATAAAAATACTATCAAAATGAAGAGAGAAGTGAGACGAATCTACTGGTATGCGGCCGAAAAAGAGAAAACCAACGATACCAAAGTTATCAAGGATCAAACGTACTGCATTAGAGTTAGTTGAATAATTTTAAGCGATTTGTCAACAATAGTCAATACGGTTTCGCTTGGCTTTCGGAGACAAAGGCCACAATTTCCATAAATCGCTAGAATACTGTTGTTTAGCAAAAATGTGACATCCGTAAATACAATTTCTTACGCTGAATCGAACGGTGGTATTTTTATCCGTATTGCGCCATTAGGCATTACAAATACAAAGACAAACGTACTGCGAGTGATTTGTCTGTCTGTCAGCAAATATCCTATACGTACTGCGAGCGATTTGTCAACAATCTGAATTTCGCTTGATTTTCAAAGGCCATAAATCGCTAGAACACTGTTGTTTAGCAATACATTTGACATCCGTAAATGCAATTTCTTACGCTGAATCGAACGGTGGTATTTTTATCCTTATTGCGCCATTATACATTAGGTGTCATCACTGTCATTAGACATTACAATATCATATTTCAGACTACAGTTTTCGCGTTCCACAGCTAACTATTAGGGACTGTTGCTGCATAAATTTTATATTGATATGACACCAATATAAAACACCAATATATGACACCAATATAAAACTACGTCAGTGTAGTTTAGGTTATAACCTTTTACCTTGCAATTGTCTTTGGTTCGTTTATAATCAGATTCAGTATATTTAATATGATCGTGCACGGGAATTCAAAGATCCAAATTTCGGATTTTCAGAGTCGTGTACCAAGAAAAATGCATTAACTAAACTAGCAAAAATACCCAGAGTTAGACACAATGCAAAATCCATAGAAAACCGGTACAATTCGTTGAAAATTTTAACGAAATTGTTTGAAACATTTTGCCCACTCACGAAAGGCCGCCATTTTGAAAAGGATAAATTGGGTTTATTAGGCAGCTCAATAATGCGGGCACGATGTAAACAATCGATGTAAACTAATCGCTGATTGGCTTAAATATATCATGAATTGCCTCAATTATATAAGCTCTTCGCTGAATGGCTATGTGTTACCATACGGTACGTTTGCGATGGCAATATATCTGCTTCGCAGATACAAAAATCGTCCATGTATTAGCCCCCCGTATATAAGCCCCCCGTATATAAGCCCCCCCCCCTGTATAAGCCCACCAAAATCGCTTTCGAAAGTATAGGCACCCAACTTTTACTTAAGTCATTATGCATACATGTGACGTACTGTACATTCCGGACATATCAAACAAACTGAAATATTTCAGAAACAAAGTGAGCAAACGAAAATCTTCATAATAATGATAAAAAGAATTGAGGTTAGGTGCTCTTTAAGCCAATAGCCCTACCTAAATATCAGAAAGCCAACGTCATTGCCAATAACTGGTAACTCAGCTTCAACCAAACTATGCGAGACTGGATCCTCCGCAAAAATCAGAAAGTTAAAGAACACAATGATGTATGCAATAATCACTCGGCAGTACGGATGTTGAAAATAATATCTACTGTTTTTCTTCTGCACACGATACATTGTTTTCGTATTGCCGTTGTCTTCCTAAAATAAAAACACGAGTAGTTAGAATATTTCAGAACTCGTAATGATCTCTATAAATTGCACTGCATCCTTCAGTTCACAGTTTTATAAACTGAAGCCATGCCGTTTCTATTAAACCGTAGCTGTTATATAATTTAAACCCTAAATCTGAACAGCAATGATTCAACCGAACTTCAACCCAACACCTAAGAAAACCTCATTTCCAATTGCACAACGTAAACGGAGTTATGTGCTGAACAATGGACTCTTGGCATAACCAAGCAATCATTCAATGGCATCATGTTACCGAATCAGCCAATCGCACTGCGGTTGAAATATTAATAATCAAATATACGCTAGGGCGGTTTATGGTAAACCGGTAAATATCGGGGGTTCTTTCAAAACCGGTCTTTCGGTCCTCCCAAAATAGGACAACTAGAAAATCGGAAAAGCTAACCGAAGAATCATATACGGACGATTGAAATGCGATGAAGTTTGATCTGAATGTGGATTACCTGCAGCCAATCAACTAGGGATAAACAGCCGCGTATATGTACAAAACCGCCGTATTTATGGCCTTAGTATTATATGATGACGTAATGAAAGGGGGTTTCATGTGTCAAGATGACATACACAAAAAGACCGGTTTTATCTTCGATTTGGTTTCTTTTCTTCTGAAAACTATAAAATCATAATTTCAAACGATTTGTGCATGGTGAAGTCGACTTGACATAAAATTGAAGTTTTGAAATTTGCTGAGATTTCAGATCATATCGACTATGACTAAAGAAATACGAACTTAGAGCAAGTCTAAGATTAAGTCGACATTATTCATGGGATTCAGACAGCAAATCGGAAGTTCAAATTACCACACATAGTCTGAGAATATATAGTAGGTTGGTAAAATTACTCAATTCTGATTGGCTAAGACCAGTGCAATTATTTTTGAAACTGCACTGCAATTTCAAAAATTTTCCGCTCGGCGCCAACGATTATTATTATTATTATTATTATTATCATTATTATCATTATTATCATTATTATCATTATTATCATTATTATCATTATTATCATTATTATCATTATTAATGAAATAATTCAAAATGGCGACCGGTCATGACTTAACTAACAGCGTTGAATCTCAACAAATACAGCTCGAATATAAACTCTCCGAGGCCTACTTTACGTTTAAAGAGTTTATAGAATGCAGTAACGTTTAAAGAGTTTATAGAATGCAGTAACGATGGAAAGGTGAAATGGCTGAGCAATTTAAATGATTTAAAAGCGTTTATGTCCGCGCTATTCGACGATGTCGGCAAGTGGAGTTCGCCCGGTGGCGGTGCTAAATCATATCGGAATGATTTAATATCTATTAACTGGTATACACACAAGAAAGCACTAATTTTCCATGATCGACTAGGAATCGTACTAAAGAACAAACTAATTGATCTGAGTGTAAATAAAATATCAGATCCTGACGAATACAATCAATTAAACGATCCAGAAGGTGACAAAGATTGCATGGCTTACAGTCGTTTCTCATTAGATATGATGGAAATAAAGTCAGACCTCAAACAAATGAACACGTTAATGAAAAATCTTTATCACGAATCTACTCCAGCCAAGCGCTGTTCCACCGATCATCTTTGTTGTGTAAATACATGTGAAGTGGGCATTCAAACGGACATCGAATTCACTCAATATCCTAACCAGAGCGGAGAGCGTTGTGCAAGCATGTGTAATGATTTGTCGACTGAATTCGAGGGCTTAAAGCTCGATTTGGTGATTTCCGAGTCCAAGATTGATAACAAAATTCGAATCAATGGTGATGCAATAAATCAAGTTCAGGCAGAATTCGCCATTAGAGAGGTTAAGATACCCCGGTTCCGATTTACGGGTACGGGTAATATACACGTACCCGTACCCGTAAACCGGGGAACGACTTGTAACTTAAGAAATCCAAGATATTCCGGCGTGCGTAAACCTATCAGAGAATGGCAACTTTCGCTGTTGAGGTTCGCCATAGATTGTTGAAAACTTTGACAAGCATAAGTGCATTATTTATTTGGGTAAGATGTTGAAAATTTTTACTATATAAACGGCCCACAAATAGTAAACACAAAACACCCGTACCCGTTTCTCTTTTACGTGTAGACCATGGTTTACCGCGGGGAAACGGGTAGAAATTACGGGTAAAAATGCTGACATCAGCAAAAATTGGTAAACAAAATGGCGATACTCGTACCCGTAGACCGGAACCGGGGTATCTTAACCTCCCTATTATTAAAAATCAGCTCGGTGAAGTTGTTCAACAGGTCGATCGTTTAGTTAACACAAACGAGAACAACAACACCAATAACAATAATATTGCAGAAAGTATTGTTAGAACGGCTAATGAGAACAATAGTCTTATCAATACTATCGAAACACTATGCAAAGGGCTGAAAACTATGATAGCCTTGTGTAATGCAAATTTTATTAATCAGATCAACTGAATTTTTTTATTACTCAGATCAACCAAGCGTCTCGCCAATTTCAACACTTGACCAAACTGACATCACCCCGTCAGCAACAGAACCTAATCAACAACAGCTGCATCAAATCCTAAATCCCTCTGCAGTTTGTAACTTTCAGGACGAATCATGTATAGAATCTTTCGTCACAGTTGAGGAAGCCAGCATAACATCAGAGGCTCTTAGCCTTGATAACACCCTGTCGAATTCCTATCCCAATGTCATATCCATTTCGGATGATCAACAAGCCGGCTTATCCTCACCAAATGGAAATTCCACCACAGTCGAAGAGATCGTTACAGGCATTAAGTAATATTTCAAATCCGAGTTAGTGTTTTAGACGTGGTTTCTAAATACAAGTGCCATGAACAATGGCGAGGCGCAGCCGAGCCATTGTTCATGGCACTGGGGATTTGGAAGCCAAGTTTAAAACACTAACGAGGATTTGAAATTGCTTCTCACAGATCATTAGATATTCATAGCAATGAGGCAGTAACAATAGCGAATTAAGTTGTTCAATGAGGCGAATGCGTAACGAAGGAAGGAATTAAAGACGTTGTTGTTGGAGTATTTGTTCGCCTTCGAAGGAAGCATGGCATCTAGTTACAAAAAGAGGAGATTTCGAGATCCTCAAAGCGTGGAAAGAAGCATTGACAACGTGCGAAATGCTATTCCACAAACAACGCGTTATAAAAATCGTTGGGGAGTTCGTATATTTGAAGATTGGCAAAGTGGGCGAGAAAATAAAGCAGTCATGTGTGAGAGCAATCCTTTCAGCTTAGATTTGCAGAATTTGCAAAATTTGGAGACAGAATTGTGTTCAATGACGGCAAGAACGTTAAGCTTCTGGCTTATCAAATTTGTTCAAGAAGTTTGCGACAAGGATGGCAAGCCATGGCCATATCCCGGGCGTACAGTATACCAAATTATATGCTCGTTGAAACGACATCTAGACAAAAATGGCCGGGCTGAAGCTAACATGTTAAATGCTAACAATCACTGGTCGGTTGAATTCGTTCATTTTTAATTAATGGTTTAGTTTAATTTATTGTAATATCAGCATGTTTATTACTCACTTTCCAGACGTTCAGAAGAGTGCTGGATAGTGAAATGAAAGCCACCCACCGGGAAGGCGAATCGCGTACAAGACGAGAGAAAGAAGCTATTACAGATGATGAAGAAGGTTTGCTGTGGTCAAAAGGCTTACTGGGAGACAAAACTGCTCAAAGTTTGGTTTACACAATTTATTTCTATATCCACCCTCGAAGCCTATGGAAGACGAAAAGTTTCAAATTTCCGACGAGGAACTTGATAAGTTTTTGAGTGAAGTGGACTGGTCTAAAATTGATGAAGAGGTGCAGCGACGTACTATCGCAGAAAAGTTTGTTTTGTCGAACAGTACATTCACTAACTGTTCCTTTAACATTCCGTTTGCCGGAAATAAGTAATACTAAGTCAATTGTATGTGTGTTATTGTTAGTGTGATTAAAAAAGCAACATATTTTGTTGTTTGAAGTGTGTTTTAATGTTTTTGTGTATTTAGAAGTTATTTCTAAATACAGCTTACTGTATTTAGAAATAATTCTAAACATAGCAATTAAATATATTTGCATAATCTTTTGTTTACCCCTCAATTTCCCTATTGTTCAAAGCCCTTCCCACTGGAAGTAATTAAAGTCCTGGTCTAGACGGGGTATCCAGATAGATACACGTGATGTAAATTACACCATGTCATTGGCCGAAATGCTATGAATATCTAATGATGTGTGAGAACCAAAATTATAATCCGTCGACTATGCTCCCATCGTTCGACGATCAATTGAAGGAATATCGTACTAAGCACTCTCACACCGACAGAATGATAGTTGTCCATAATAATTCTGGAATAACACACCAAAAACCTACAAGGAAATCAACCCGAAACCGGAAAAACACCAGATCTAGTCATATCAAATCGAAGCGATGCAATTATATACCACAACCCATATCACATATAGATACCTCTGCATATAACCCGAAAAATTTTCGGAAGAATTGCTCTTCAAATCGGCCGCCGGACTGGCGAAACTACCTGATCCTTGTAAACAAATTAACGCAGAAAACAGAATTAAGTCAATCGACAAGAATTTAAGTTCGAACATCGTTACTATTAATGCCAAGGCCACCTTTAATATACCTAATAAAATAGTTCCCAATCGTCGTATACACAAACCCCATACCAGAATCCCAAAGGGTAATCGTACGCGAAATGTTCATAACGTAATCTCATCACGTAATCATAGTAAGATTACCTCCCACCGTCCATTTCATAAACGAAATCGTACTCGGAATAACAATAATCTCATTAAAATCTATCCCAATAAGAATCTGTATAACACAGGTGTTAACGCCTTGTCACAAAATAATCCATCTCATGTCCCCAAGGTGATGGTGACTAATGTGAGGTCCTTAGTTCCAAAACTAGACGAAGTACAAGAATTCCTAATTCGGAATGACATTAATTTTGCGTTTATTACCGAGACATGGTTAAAAGAGTCAATTGCAGAAAGCATAATTAACATTCCTGGTTACACTGTATTTCGCAGAGATAGGAAAAATGATGATCATGGTGGTGTATGTGCTTATATTCGAACTGAAAAATGTAATTACAGACGAATGGACGAATTAAATTGCTGTGAGAATCACGAGATCTTGTGGCTTTACTTACGACCTGACCGCTTACCTCCGGGTTTCTCATGTATAATTGCAGGATTGGTGTACAAAGCGGTAATGCAAGTTCGATCTGTGACCATCTGTTCAACTCACTCACAATGGCCGAATCCAAATACCCCAACTGTGGTATATTAGTTACTGGTGATTTTAACCGCCTAAATATTAATCGTTTATTAAATCACTTTCGCCTTAAGCAAATAGTAAAAGTACACACGAGGTAAGATGCTATTTTAGACCTCATGTTAACGAATATGCATATGTACTTTTGTGCACCGAAAGCATATGCACCTTTCGGTCTGTCTGACCATAACACTATTGTCGCAGAGCCTAATGTCATAGCGCCAAAAGGCAACAATAAGAAAGTAATAATAAGACGGGACTATCGGGCAAGGCGTAAAGCTGAAATGGGAAGATATTTGAGCCTCTTTGATTGGTCACAGTTGTTTGCTCCCTTGGATAGTAGTGAGGAAAAGTGGTTGGTTTTCCATGAAGTAATACACAATGGGCTTAACTTATTAATGCCGGAAAAACGTATGGAGGTCAGCACTGTTGATGCACCATGGATGAATAAGAAATTAAAGACCCTGATTGTCAAAAGACAATAGGCGTTTAATAAGAATGGAAACGGTTCCCTTGATTTTAAATACTACAGGAATTTAGTCAACCGTGAAAGAAAGGCATGCAGAGGGAAGTATTATGAATCAAACATACAAAATCTTAAGGGTGAGAACCCTAAGAGATGGTGGAGTGAAGCGAAACGTTTAAGTGGTATGAAAGAAAAGAACATCGATCTGTCCAGTCAAATAAAAATCGACGAGTTCTCTAACTTTCCACAACGTGAACAGGCAAATATCATTAATACAGCTTTCTTGGAGCCCATTGAGGAGTACAGATTGGTCGTTCCACCACCATGCCGCGACTTGGAAGAATCAACGGAGGTCCTAACTGTGACAGAAATGCGCGTAGAGAAGGCCCTAGCAAAACTCAACCCTGGAAAAGCGTCTGGTCCTGATAACATTCCAAATTGGCTCTTAAGAGATTATTCCAGAATTGTTGCTCTCCCAATTATGAATATTATTAATACTTCATATCGTGAACAGCAATTGCCTGCATGCTGGAAGATGGCAGATGTATCACCACTGCCCAAGAAGAAGCCGGTTAAGGACCTAAAGAAAGATTTAAGACCAATCTCGTTAACCCCTAGCGTATCCAAGGTTGCGGAGGGGTTTGTGGTTGAGGATTACGTGAAGCGTGCCATTTTAAAAGTTATCGACCCAAACCAGTACGGAACAATCCCGAATTCATCTACTACTATCGCGCTAATTAATATGTTACATCACTGGTTTTTAGGAACAGATGGAAATGGCTCAACCATTAGGACAATTCTGTTTGACTGTCGTAAAGCATTCGACTTAATCGACCACGGTATACTGATTGATAAACTAAGCAGATTGGAATTACCTCCAAGTGTTATAAACTGGATAATTGATTTTCTCACCGATAGATTTCAAAGAGTTAAATTAGCTGATGATTGTTTTTCGGAGTGGGGATCAGTCCCTGCAGGAGTACCACAGGGAACTAAGCTAGGCCCCTGGCTGTTTGCTCTTATGATAAATGATTTAATCATTGATGATGCACATACCTGGAAATACGTAGACGATACGACAGCGTCCGAAATTGTCAGTAAGGGGGGTTCTAGTGATGCCCAAAATATAGTTGATCAAGTGGTTACGTGGTCTAGTAATAATAGAGTACAATTAAATCAAGACAAGTGTAAGGAATTGAGAATATCGTTCGCGAATCAACCAGCAATCTTTGATCCATTAACCATTAATGGGAAAGAATTGGAAGTTGTTAAAAGAGTAAAGCTGGTAGGACTCACTGTCAAGGACAACCTTACTTGGAATTCTTATGTGGACGAGGTTATAAAGAAAGTGAATAAAAGATTGTACTTTTTAGTGCAATTAAAACGGGCAAGAGTTCCACCACAAGATTTAGCGTTGTTCTATACGTCGTGTGTCAGGTCAGTTGTGGATTACGCGATTCCTGCCTTTTACCATTGTCTCCCCCAATATCTGAAGCGTGAGTTAGTGCGTCTCGAGAAAAGAGCTATATCAATTATTATGCCGGAAGTTGACTATCTAACAGGTTTGGAACGATTAGATATTAAGCCCATGAAGGATCATCATGAATATTTATGTAACAAACTTTTTAAGTCTATTATTCTTAATCCTGATCACAAACTTAATAGCTTATTACCAGCAAGATATAACACGAATTATAACCTGAGAAACCAAAGGAACTTCAACCCCCCACAAATCATGACTAATAGAACAATGAATTCCTTTATCTTCTCTATGTGTAGCGCATGAAACTTGATGTTTATTTATTGGATGTTCGTATACAATTATTAGTGTAAATTAGCCTTTTAAACTTTTTATCGTAATTACTATTACAATAGTCATACAATTGTTAGAGTAAAATACACATACAATTATTAGAGTAAATTAACCTTTTAAACTTTTTACTGTAATCACTACTAAAATAGTAAATTATTCATGTAATATATCAAATTTTCTTGTCCAATTAGCAAATTGTAAATTACGCAATTCAGCTGTAAAGCTGCGATGTAATTATTTTAATAAATCCAAATCCAAATCCAAATTATTATCATTATTATCATTATTATCATTATTATCATTATTATCATTATTATCATTATTATCATTATTATCATCATTATCATTATTATTATTATTATTATTATTATTTAAAGATATTTAAACATGGTAGCCTTTCACTTATGTGTCAAAGGGCCGTGGTGGGGCCGATAGCAATGTAAATTGATAGATGATAGCACTGTAAATTTTCACTTTTTGACGATTTTTTGTACACTTGCAATTGAAAATCGTACCGTACGGTTGGGCGATATTTCGATATTTTGATTTATCGCGATACTTTCAATCGCGATTATCGTATCGAAGGTAGAAACTTGAGTGACGATTTATCGAAATTATCGTCATGCTCGTTGAATATCGTGATATTGCTTCGCATGTGTATATAGCTTTTATAAAATCCTAAAAAATTCCTTCAATTCCTAGAAAATATAGTTTTTAAAAGAATTAAAACTATTTCCTGAATTAAATACGAATTTAAAACAATACAAAAGCTAATATTTAGGTATTAATTCGCTGAACAATGAAATTGCAGGCTTTGCTTGCGCTGTGTGGCTACGGCATTTGTGCCAGCGGAGACACAGTACACGTACACTGTATAGACAGTTCAGGTTTATGAACAGTAAATATTAGACTAGAAAAAGCCTTCTTATTACATTAATTTGTTGTTTTACTTGCTTTTAATAAGAATATATATAAGCTTACTATGCTTGGATGTTAATTAAAATTGAAAAATGTGGTCATTGTTTTTATTGCATTTATCCCGATATTATCGAATATCGTGATAATTTCCTCGACAATAATCGCGAGATGATTTTTTTAATATCGCCCAACCCTAATCGTACGTCAGTATATAACAATTTAGGCACAAAAAACACTAGACCGAAAAAAAATGCTAACAATAGCAATAAAAACAGGTTAATAAGTAATAGTATCATTAGGGACCGGTCATTATTTATGACGGGGGGTGGCACCGAAGAGAAAAGGGTTGGGTAAACAAAATTTTGAGTGAGTAAAAGGTTGGGTAAATGAAAAACGAAACAACTCAAAGGTTGGGTATTAAAAATTTATTGTCATTTCCAAAGCACGACTCACTCAAATATTGAAGACTGAAAACTTCAATGTCAACAGTCATATGTCAATACAATATGTGAATCAATCTATATCTTCATTTTCCGATTTGTTAGGAGACAAATGGTGTCTCCAAAGAAAGTAAATGTGCAGACAACATGAAACTTTAGACTGCAGAAAAGTCAGTAAATTTCACAAGCCGAACGTTATGAAACTATCAAACATTCACAAGCCGAACGTTATCAAACGTATCACAGAAGTGGTAAAGGACTTGTGTCATGTGTGACAACTGAATGACATCCTTTTGTAACGTTTTTGGCCAGGGGTGGGTATTTATTTTTTAAATGATACTTGAGGTTGGGTAATCAAATTTTTGATTTTTTAATGGTTGGGTCAACAAAATTTTTGCCACGAAAAACATTTCTCTTCGGTGCCACCCCCCACCATAAATAATGACCGGTCCCTTAGTATGGTAATCTTTGAAAAACTGACTACTTCATGATTTTTTGTGTTTCTGGTGTTATGCACAAAGGTGAAGATATATGTTTGTGATGTATGATTGTCTCTGTGTGTTCCATACCGGGCAAGCTGAAAAGTTTGCTTGACCGCAGTGAGAATCGAACCTTTGGTTTGCTAGTCCAATGCTCTACGAGGTCAAATCAGTTCGCCTGAAAGATATTTCGGATTATTAAAAAAAAAAGTCATCAAGTTTAGATTAGTGTCAGATTAAGATTCGATTAGGGTTAGATTAAGATTATATTAGGGTGAGGTTCATCTATCCGAATTAAATTAATTGCGCAAATTTATTATATTGATAATTTCGGACGTGTTTAACAATTTACTCCTATCGTAAATGCAAAGGTCGAGCTCATGCTGAAAATATCACCAACTCAAACTGATTTGGGGGAGGGATAGCCTGTAAGTTACAGATTGAAAAGGAATGTGCAGAAGAATGGGATTCCTCTCATCATCTTGTATAATTTAAAATACAGACTTCAATGAACATGCCACCATCCCCTGAACCAGTGGCGACGTGGCGTATGAAGATATTTAAAAACCGAGGCATGGAAATTTTAATGAACCATGCCCCAGAGTGCATCCCAAAAATACCTAACAATCCTCCCCC